TGGGGACACACTGTGAAATTAAAGGGCAGAGCTCTTTGTTCAAATTTATTAAGAATTTTAAGACAGTGGCAGCAGGCAGGCATTAAGCCTCACACAGAGCCTTGGTTGTTCTTGGGCTTCCTTTGGATTTAATTCCAGTCAGTTATCTATAAGCTATGCTGATATAATAGGTACTTTTCTTGTAAAGTCAGTTACTACCTCCTACTAACATGGGAGCTATATTCTATGAAACAGCTTTGGATATCCACAGAAGAAGCACATCAAAATATGTAAACTTTATGACTTGCAGATGATAATTTTGCTTCACATTGGAACAAGTTTATCATTTTTAACATAGAAGGCTATTGGGCATAAGTAATGCTTCCTCTTTGAATATGCTATTGGACCTGCTATTTTTTTAACAGTTGAACTATGAATGACTGCTGGGAAAATATTAAAGAACTGAAAAGCTGTGTAAAACTACCAATTTTCAAGATAAAAAATTCCTTTTATTGCAAATGCATTGGTATTTGCAGAATCAGACCAAAAAAAGGCGGCGGGGGGAACAGACTGAGTTTCTATAATAATTTGAAAATTGGGACAAGCAAATTTTTAATTTACATGAATATTATTATAATGTTTATATATTACAGTTGTAATGATGGAAAACATGATGGTTTAATGAAACATTATAATTTCACTCTTATATTGGCCAATACATAAAATTTAAAGGCCTTAATTTGTGATTAGAGAAAGGTGTGGTACTTAAAGATAGCTTCTGAGCCAATTAGTCAGAGTTCAAACTGCCTCTGGCTTTAATTGTGTGGGCAGATATGTGTGATCTTGAACAATTCATTTAATGTCTCTAGGATTCCCGCATCTGTAATGGAGAAAAATAACAGTGCCTGTCTCCTAGTATCTCTGAGGTTTTGAGGAGATACTACATGTGAAACTCCTTGGAATATAACATGCATTCAAAAAATATTTGCTATTAACTACTGCCATTATTATGGTCATGATTGCTGTTATTGTTGTTACTATTATTACTACACAATGTCACACTTGCCTGCCTCTCAACATTATTTCCTGTCACCTTCTCTCAGCCTAGGCAAGCTCCAACCAAACGCTCCATTCCCTGCATATACTTGAAGGTTCTCTGTCTTCTTGTTGTTGCTGTTGCTGTGCATAGACTGAGAACCACTTGGAGGGGATGTTGTAGAGGCAAATTCAAGCCACAGCAGGAAACTGGGTTGAGTGAGATCCCCCTGAAAGTTCCTCTTGGCTCTAAGATTCCAACAGATCAACAAATGAACATGAGAGTTAGTGGGCACATTTGACATTCTCAAGAGCAATCTTTGATTCCTCTCTGCTTTGCCAGTCTCCTGCATTCAGTTTTAGGACACTAGACAAGGAATCCTTCTGTTCCATCACATGGAGCGTGAGGTGGAGCTGCCACAGGTGGGAGTCCTGGAGACACACTCAGGTCAGGGACAGATGGCCCCGATGGGCGGGCACAGGCTTGGGAGACAGAGCCTGTGTGTTTGATCTTGAGCAAGCTTGCTTAGATTCTCTGAGCTTTCAGTAGTTAAATGCGGGTATTAGTTGCCACTGCAGAGGGTTAGAATTGAATTAGATATGGTATACAGAGAGCCCCCTGAATATCCCTTCCCCTGTCATGCCTTCCCCGGGGACTTGGGCTGTGTCTCTAAGGGGATTTACCTGAACGGATAGAGGTTATGGGTTCACCAGGAATAGTGGGGTGCAGGCAGGTAGGGCAGATGGTAGGAGGCCCTGAAACCGAGACAAAGGGACCTGGGCTCAAGAAACCAAAGGGTTAGGAGCTTTGCTGTGGTCATTTCTTCTGTTTCTTTTCTTCTGGCCAGAATTTAATAGGTTGGAAATAATGGACTAATTTTAAGAACCCAGACTTCCATAACTCTCTCCAGCTTTGAAAATAGCTACAAATCTGTCCAAGGACTACGCTAGAAAGGAAAATAAAATGCAATTTATCCTGACACTTCTTCCTGGTTACACTGGGCATGGGCTTTGGAGGTGGACCATCATCCAAGACAGGCTGTCTTGGCATATGGGTGCCAGGGCCCATGAGCTGAAGAAGGCCGGGTCAGCAGCAGGTGGGTGCTTCACCCATCTTCTCCCCCAAGACCCCCAAGCTGGGAGCGTACCTGCGGTTCTGTTGTCAGTCTCACCTCTGTCTTTTCAATTGGGATTGAAAACCTCACCTCCATGGTGGCTGTGCCCAGAGCATACTAACTCACTTATAATGGTAGCTCTAGTGAGAAGGAATTATCTCTGACATCTGAAACATTAATATTCAAAGGTTGAATTGTCTGGGGAAGAAAGCAAGGTACCTAGAGCCACAGGTCCAGAGTTTGGCCAAGCTGGGTTCAGGGACCTTCCTCAGTAAAGCAAATCAGTTCAATGCAATGCCATAACTATTTACTGAGCAACTATTCTCTCCCAGGTGCTATAGGAGACAAAACAGCCTGCCCCCTCAACATGCTTCCTAATGATTCTCAGGCACAGACCTGGGGACTGCCTTGAAAATTTATGTACTGTTTAGCACAAATAATAAACAGTGGCTCCCAGCTGAATTATTACATTGATGGATTTTTTTTATTATGTTATGTTAATCACCATACATTACATCATTAGTTTTTGATGTAGTGTTCCATGATTCATTGTTTGCGTATAACACCCTGTGCTCCATTTAGTATGTGTCCTCCTTAATACCCATCACCAGGCTAACCCATCCCCCCACCCCGGATCTTTAAGTGTCAGTATCCCCAACTCCAGCCTCTCCTCATGAAGGGGCAGAGGGCAGGAAAGGGGAAAACAAATGTAAAACCCCTATTACAATGCCTGACTATTACAAGACATCAACAAATAGGAGTCATTTTTATATTTGCCGAAAAGATAGAAAAGATCTATCTCATTTTCACTATGACTTTATGAGAAATAATATAAAAAATCTTAAAATTTTAGTTAATATGAAACACTATAGTATTTAATTTTCTCAACTTTTTGTCATCATCCTCATTGTAATAATACAAAGTGCTTAACATTATGCACTGTCCTAAGCATTTATACTTCCCTACAACTCTCCCTACTGCAATTATCCCATTTTACGGAGGAGAAAACTCAAGCACAGAAAAAGTAATTCATATGGCCAGGGTCATAATTCTTAAGAATATTCCTTTGGTTTGTGTTTCACTGTAGCTGTCTCCCCCTCTTTCTACTCTCTCTAGGTCCCTGACAAGGTGGGAAGACAAGCTCAGTATGGTAGACTTTTCTTCCTTTCAGAAAGGTGACTCCTCTTTCTCTTTCACTCTTTCTGTCAATATCCATATACCTCAGAAGGCTGCTTGTTACCAATTCTCCTGATATTTATAAGTTTCAACTCCTCTGTTTCTTTTGTATATATATTGCTCTGCAAGGCCTAACCCTTTCCTAAGAAAATGCCATGGGTGATATTCATTTGTAGCCAGAGACACCAGGGAGAAAAGAAGTGAGTTTTGACAGCAGCTGAATGAGGCAAAGTGGAATTACAGAGCCTATAGAAATGGTATGATGGAGCTGCCAGATGAAATGGGCCAAAAATTCATCTTGCATGATCTTTTCTGAGTATCCATTATTGAAACGGATTTTCAAGCCAGTCAAGTAGCATAGGGTTATGAAAACATGTAACCAGACACCTGACATCCTGTGTCTGAAAAAAAGAAAGGTCCAGTGCCCCCCTTCTAAGAGTAGAATTTCAGCCTCCCATCAGAGCATGAACTGGGGAGCCAGTCACCAAACTCCCCTGCCCCCAGAAGGAAGTCAAGTGGATGAATAAATGGCAAAGTTGGAGCTGCTTCTGCAGTGGCTTTTAAGGGTCTATATAACACTTGACTTTGGTTCCCAGTGAGGCAAATCTTCTCCCATAACATGATTAGGAAAGGGTTTCTGGAAACATTTCCTCAGGATGCAGAAAGGCAAAAGGTTTGTTATGCATACTACTTTGTGTCTCAAAATAATCTCAAGTAGGAGTTTTTCTATCTTTGGTGGTTTTCCTTTCACTTGCCATTTATTGGTGCAAAGTATGGTATTTATAACAGTTCAAAGAGCAAAGGAGTCAGTATTCAGTCAGGTGCCATTTTGAAAACTGCTCTTCATCTAAATCTGAAAGACGTAACTTAAAGCAGCAAAATTTAAAAACATCTTGTGCAGAAAATGCTCCCTTTAAAATGTAGAGTTTGATTTTTAAATTAAATTGTCATCTTTAAGAGATGGCATTCAAAGGGGCTTGTTAGCAATCACTTTCATATTTAGGAAAATAAGGAACAGAAAAGAAAAAGAACTTCCTCATTGTCAGCCTCAAGTCAAAACAACTTCAACTTGACATTTGATTCTCACAAAAACTACGGCGGTGAATAAAAAATATGCATGTTACAGTGAGGAAACCTTTTTTAAAAGAATCACTTAAGGGTGCTTTACCTCCCACCCAATTTCAGAAGCCTGGTGAGGAGACAAAGAGGGCCCGAGTGGGGCGAAGGCCCTCGGCTGGCCCGAAAGCTGAGTCACAGGAATCGCAGCCCTGCAATGGGCGAGGCCCTCCAGCGCGGCCATCGCACCCTCCCTCGGGGATGTCCGCACCAGACAAAGCCAGCTTCGCAGTAAAGGAATTCCTGTCCCCCTAGGTACCACCCAGATCCTTAGTTATCATGCGCCGGTCCCCAAGAGCTGGTTGGCGCGGCTGCTGCAAAAAGCCATTAGGATAAAATAGACCTAAGGAGGGACAATGCATGATGCTGGGGGGAGGGGCTTTAGCTCCTTTTAATTTTCCGCCGTCGTTGCGGTTAGGGTGCACTGGTGCACGCGGGGCGGTCCCCCAAACGCCAGGCCGGCCCCCGGACGCAGGGGCCGAGGCAAGGCGCTAAGGAGTTAAGCGGGCCCGCGGTGACGTCGCCTCATTTACATATGAGCGCGCATATAGCTGCGCGCCGCGCGCCCCGCCGGGCATTCGGCGTGGGCCACTTATCAGACCGGACTTCAGTTGCACGCGCACCTCGCTCCGGTGAGCCCCGGGGCCCCGACTCCTACCCTCGGTCCCTTCCCACCCGGCGCCCGCGCTCACCTCTCGCCGCCCGTCTCCCTACGGAGGTGTCCCTACAGCGGAGACCAAAGCGTCCTCCCGGGGAAGCCTGCCTTGGGGTCTTGGGGATGCCAAACCCTTCCAGATACTGGGGAACGGGGTCGGGAACTTGGTGATTTAAAGACAACCACCCCACCCCCCAAGCCGGGCGTTTGGCAGTGCAGCTCCGAGGGAACATTTTTTTTTTCTCCCGCCCCGGGCGTTCTGCACTGGTTCTTAGGTGGTGATTAATCTGGAACAGAAAGATCCTTTGTTCCAACTCACATCCACCCAAGCCCGAAGCTTCAACAGTTAGGTTTTTTCTGTAGTCTCTGATGGCTTCTTGGGCCCTATCTGTCCAGATTTAAGGTGGCTGGGCTATACTGTGAAATGGGGGGAGAGGGGAAGGGGACAAACCAACCCTTCTTGCAGGGGGGTGTGTGCGGGGGTTGCCAAATTGCAGCTAAATGCAGATCAGGACTGGTTTATGGGGTGTGGGGCAGCTTTGTGCGCGGCCGGCTGCATTGTTGAGCGCGAGTGAGGAAGGAGTAGGGCGGTGGTCTGGGGCGTCGGCTGCAGCTGCCGCCTTTGTGAGCAGAGAAGAAAAGCAGCACGGTCCCACATGTTTGGGGGAGACTCATGGAAAATGGAAGCACTGTGCAGTCTCGGCTTCAGTTTGAGAATTTTTACTCGATCCTACCATTCCCGCCCCCATGGCCTCGCTCTTCTAGCTAGATTTTAATTTTCAAACATTTTAACTGACAGCCCACGCTGGTCAGTTTCATCATTCAAAAGATTCGCCTCCTAATGGGAGGGCGATCTTCCCAGTTTGGCCCCCCGCATTTGGAAATAATGAAGAAGGGTTCTTTTTCTGTGTAGAAAGAGGAAGAGCTGTAGCCTTGAACGAAAGCGGAAGGAGGCAGAGGTGGGGTTTCAGGCAGGGTATGCTAGGGCAGAAGCGCATTTCTGAGCCCGAAGAGACAAGGGTGGGTCGGTCGCTCGATCTCACTCTCCCTCTTGGCTTTGTATAAGCAGCTTCCTCTGCAACCATGTCTGACAAACCCGATATGGCTGAGATTGAGAAATTCGATAAGTCGAAATTGAAGAAGACAGAAACGCAAGAGAAAAATCCACTACCTTCAAAAGAAACGATTGAACAGGAGAAGCAAGCAGGCGAATCATAGTGAGGCGCGCGCCGCCCATATGCACTGTACATTCCACAAGCATTGCCTTCTTATTTTACTCGGACAGGGAAGGGATCCGGACGGGGACGGGGGTGGGGGGGCGGCGAGGGAGTGTGGGGGAGGAGCTGACAGTTTTTATGATGAATGTGGCCTGGAAAGGTTAATTAAACATTTTTTTGCAGCCAACAAACAGGGCTTTAATAGTTTAATAATGGGATGTTTGTTATACCATATTAATATGCAATATTACACCGTTTTATGTTAAAATGTTTTTTAATGGCCATATTTTCGCGATGGGACGACTTGATAAGTTGGCGGATTTTTATGATATGGGAAGACACTGTAAACGAAAAGTACGATAATTTTATACTAGGGTGTACTGAGTCTGCCTAATGAGCTCCCAACATCTTTTTTCTCTTTTTTTTCTTTCCTGTCACAGCGATTGAACAGGAGAAGCAAGCAGGCGAATCATAGTGAGGCGCGCGCCGCCCATATGCACTGTACATTCCACAAGCATTGCCTTCTTATTTTACTTCTTTTAGCTGTTTAACTTTGTAAGATGCAAAGAGGTTGGATCAAGTTTAAATGACTCTTCTGCCCCTTTTCCCATCAAAGAATCTGAACTACTGACCAGGAACCCCAAGCCTCCTTTCCATCCGCCTGTCTGGCTGGCAGGGAAGGAAAATAACTTGTATGCTAGTGAAGGAAGAAGCTGGGTGGGACGACCAGTAACATTAAGTTGGTCCAAGGTATCTGGCAGGCTGTACAATGCAGTTTAATCAGAGTGCCATTTTTTTCTTCGTATGATTTTAATTATTGGAATGCACAATTTTTTAACATGCAAATAAAAAGTTTAAAATGTGGGTGTGTTTGGAAAGAGTGCCTTATTCTCCCTGAAATCTGTGCAAGAGAGCCTACCTCTTGGTCTCATTGGGGAAAAATAAGTGACAAACATCTGGTGATTTGGGTACATCCTGGTACAGCATAAAAATGGGTTTCACTCACATAAAATACATCTTACAGACTAGTTAATTGAGAGATCATTTTCTTAGGCTGACTGAATTCCCATGAGCAGTATCAAAGTTTTACCATGAATATACTTGCAATCTTAAAGATTTTGATAAGACAAAATTGAATTTATTTTATACAATCAAGAGAAGGAGGTGGCAACATTCATAGCATATTTCTGGTATCAAATTGAACTTGGTTACTTAGTTACTGGCATTGGCACAAATAGAATTCAAGCAGTCTTGTTAGATGAAAAATGAAAATTGCATTCTTAACAATTGCTTTATAAAGGAATTTGGCATTAGCTCATTTTCAGTTAGAATGCAATATTAAATGGTAAATAGACATGAGTATTTTGGAGTAATTGAGTTCATTAATTTGAGTAATTAAAAATCCTTGGACTTTGAACAAGTAATTTATCGCTGACATTTGGGCTAAGTTTAATTCAGTATGAATTCCTTGGCTCATTTCCAGGTTTTATTAATAAGTCTCAGTTCAAATACTTTCAATGGTAGGTAAAAGTAAAGCCTTTGTTTTTGGTCATTTAAGAAAAAGAGGGAAGTTAGTTAAATACATAATTTTATTGTTTAGGTAATTGTCAACACAATCCTAAATAGATTCTTGGGTCTTTTTTTCTAAGATTTTCATCTGTCAGCACAAGCAGGGATAGTGGCAGGCAGAGGGAGAAGCAGGCTCCCCCCTGAGCAAGGAGTCGAATTCCAGGACCCTGAGATTATGACCTGACCTGAGCCGAATGCAGATGCTTAACCCGCTAGCCACCCAGGCACCCCAGATGCCTAGGTCTGAGGAAGAGTACATATGAACAAAAGCAACAGAATTTAAAAATGGTAGTTTACTTACTGTCTGATCTATGCAATGTACATGTCTTAAGAAATTAAACTTTTTCCCCAGATAATGACTTCTGAAAACATTTTTTAATGTATAGGTGGGGAATGATGGTGGGAGCAAAGGAAGATGCAAATTGTTCATGATTATTAAACCAGTTTATTTCATTTCCTTTGCTCAACACTTACTTTGAGAAATATTTGCCTGTGGTTTAGACAATCAACCAGAGCATCAAAAGCTTTTATCTGCACTGCAAGGGGATATGTGCCGGTGGCTGTAAAACAGGAAGTTCCTAAGCTAGCTTGATAGAGAATAGACAAGTGGTACGCGCAAAATTCTGAGACTTCTCATGTTGAAGACAGGCCCTCCAACCCTGCACTTTTTTTCCTGAGTGGATGAATTAGATTCACTTTGCACACTGTGAATAGGAGGTGGGTGGAAGAAACATTTAAAACTTTTAGGGAAGGGGGGAAAAAATTTTCTTCGCTGGAGAGGGAGAGAAAATTCCTAGAAGTGCTAGGGATATTTTTGAATCCCTATGGGAATTTAACCAAGCTGTTAAAAGCTTGGAGTGGATACTCTCACAGGCACAAAGGGAACCTGAGATTCACCATTAGAGTGAGGGATTATTCAGACTCCCTAAACAATGGCATCCTTGACCCTCTGCTTTCCCCCTTGGAGGAGATAGGCCAAGGACATTTATGTTAAGAGCTGAAGGTCAGTGTTGTCTGGTACTTCTGCAAATTTTGAATTGATCAGGACAAATAAAACTAGAAGGAAAAAGAAGCTCATGAAAGGACTCGAGACACGGTCTTAATCATTTTCAAATATCAAAAAGGTCTCAACCATTGCAGATACATTATCAGTTTTCCAATGGATAGAATTTCAAAGCAACTTTCAGAGAAAACTTTTGGGTTGTGTGTGCAAGCATTGAGTATATAATGGGGGTGGTAGGAAGGCATGTAAAAGCAACAAATGTTAGTCTCTTTTGTATAGGGTCTCTTACATTCCTAATCACTGGATTCTCTTATACTCTTACGAGTTATATATTGTTTTCTTTAAAAGCAGGAGAAAGACTGTTTATCTCATTCAAAGAAGCACTAATTCCCCAAGACCAATGTAAAGTAATTTTCTATTGTTTCTAAACAAATAGGGCCAATTTAAAGAATTCCAAATTTAAAGTTCTTTGGAAAGAACAGTGAATTTTGGAAAATAAAATAGTGTAAAATAAAACATAAAACATCCTGGGCCTTACTGCAGAATGTAAACTTAAAGTACATTGTTCAGTAATAAGGGCAGCAAACATGTCACCCCAAAATGTAGCACTTTTCAGCTGAAGGCATTTGAAAAATACCAAGTACAGAGAGAGGCTTTCTCTGAGGTCCCCTATCTGACTAAATTCAGATCTTCTAAAAGGAACTCAACTCTCATTAATCCCCTTCCCAGGAGTTTTATCAACCAGGAAAGATTGACTCTTGTCATAAGAGAAGACACTACAACACATTACACCCAGACAAAGTTGTCACAAACTATCATACTGATGTGGTTTTAGAATATAGGTGAGGTTCAGCATCCTGGAGTCCAGAGCCAATCACCAGAAAAGAATTCTTGAGGCGTCTTTGGTGCAAACTGGTGGTTTATTAAAGCACAGGGACAGGACCCACGGGCAGAAACAGCGGCTGCACCAGGGTTGTGAGGAGTGGCTGATGATATGCAAGGGGTTGGGGGAGGTAAGGAAAAGGGAGATTTTCAAAAGGATTTTCGTATGTTAAAGAAGACTTAAAATATACCTGAGGCATTGCCATTGTCAAATTAAGGTGGCCTTTCTTTTTTTTTTAAAGATTTGTTTATTTATTTTGAGAGAGCGAGAATGAGAGAGAGAGAGTACATGAGAGGGGGGAGGGTTAGAGGGAGAAGCAGGCCCTCGCTGAGCAGGGAGCCCGATGTGGGACTCGATCCCGGGACTCCAGGATCATGACCTGAGCCAAAGGCAGTTGCTTAACCAACTGAGCCACCCAGGCGCCCTAAGGTGGCCTTTCTCTCTAGTAAGGTGTTGGCATTAAGACAGTTGGGAGCTTCCGTGAAGAATATCACACATATCCCACCCAGGACTGGGGGGTGACAGGAAGGGGAAGGTTGCATGCAGGGTGTCAGATTGTGCTTTGTCTTCAGCTAGCCTTCTGCTCCCTCATCATTTCCCTCCCCAGAACAATTCTGACCCTTAAATCTTTAAGGTTGTTGAAGGTGGAAGGTCTCATCTTCTGTAACGTCCTCATGCTGAATAGGGGAATAGAGATGTCCCTACCTATGGGTCAATATTGCTCAGTTGGGGATGTATAGGGGAGTTACAAAAGGGGGAGACAGCTAAATCCAACATGGACAACATATATGAACCTCCTTGAGTAGAAAGGATCATCTGTCAGCTGGAAGTTATGGCAGTGAAGGAAGTCTTGACACAAGGCAGGGAGACACTGGAAATACAACAAAATAAGATTAATATTGTAATGAGAAAGAAAAGTATGAATAAAAGACCTTCAAAAGTTGACCTTTGATAATTTTCCTCGAGTCCAGGAGTTTACAGGAATCACTAAAGGAAAGAGATCATTTAAACCACCAATTTGAGTATTCACATCAGTTAGAAACCCAGAAATATTTTTGTGGTAATCTGGATTGTATACACAGCATTCTGTTTTTACATTTTATATGTATTTATTTTATAGCGCAAGCTCTACTTTTTGCAACAGTTAAAACATCTAATGCCATTCTATTTTGTAAAGCTGCTTTACATATTTGTATTACCTTAGTGTTTAATAGAGAAATATTATTTTGAGTGTTATTTAGGGATTTGACCATTTACTTAAGACCATCTTCTTGTCAAACAACATTCTCCAGTCCCAAAGAGGGAACAAAGATGGATGTTAGGTGGTCATACCAATAAGACACAGAACATGTCCACCATCATTTGGAAGGTTGGCTGGTTTGGTAATGGTTTTAATTATGTGTCCATGCACCCAGGGAAAATCCACAGTACAGCAGCCTATCCAGCCCTGCAGAAGCCATGGACTCAAGTTAGAGTCACATAGCCATTGGGTCCCAGCCAGGAGCCAGCCATCAAATACTGAGCCTCCTTGAGGTGCAGTCAGGATTATGATCAAGGGCTATTCAGTTTGGGAGGGCCATCTTTGATTTGTGGGTGACTGCATGTCAGGCTTTGTTAAAGGCAGTTATTCTATGCTTGGCTAAAGTCTTTGTTTGCAATTGTACTTCAATAGAGGCGGCTTCTAGGATAAATATGACCATGAGGGATGAAACCATCAAGAAGCACTTTTTGTTTGAGGTCCAGTCTTTATAATATCCTAATTACAAGGAATCACTGGCAAGTGGGAGAAGACTTCTCAAGAGATAAGGGCATTCCCAAGTACATTTTCCAATCCAATCATAAAGAAAGTGGGGTCATCCATTATCTCTATAAGCCCATAGTTAACCCTATGGATTCGGGTATGCTCTGGATTTTAAGGAAGGATTTTTGTCATCCAAGCCACACAGAATTGGTCAAGATGCTAGTTGAGTTATATAATTGTGGGGGAATCAATCCCATTTTTTTAGTTGTTTAAATAATTATATGCACATGGTGTCCTGTTATTACCCCCACAGAATAACAAGCAAGGAGATTGTCTATACATGAGCTACTGTGGCAATTTCTCTCATTTACATCAAGTTGTCTAAATTAGGCAAACAACATTTAAGGACAATCAAAATTAGGATTTAACATCTGCAAATGTGGGTTATTGAAACATAATTTTTCATCTAAAAAAACCCTCATTTTAAATCAGAGATAGCCGAAATAAATTTCAAAATTTATTTGAAAAAACAAGTCCAATTTTAACAAACTTGGCCTAATTATTTACATAAGCTCAGCAAGAATAATGATTGATAATATAAATCTTTCAAAATGTGCTTTGCTGAAACTTTATAAAGAATCTCTAAGTTGAACTCTCCAGGCACA